GGCGCTCCGTGGGCTCCGGGCGCGGCTGGATGCGTGCGAGCTCAGATCGCTGCCTGTGTGTTGCTGCAGATATCCGCGAGCTGATCGAAGTGGATGATGTGATGGAGGATGAGTCGTTGAGGTTTGGCCCTAATGGAGGATTGGTGTTTTGCATGGAATACTTCGCCAATAACTTTAACTGGCTGGAGGAAAGCCTTGGGCACATGGAGGATGATTATATCCTGTTTGATTGCCCAGGTAAACACATCTCAGTGTATGGGCATCGTTCTTCATACACTATATAAAATTCGCAGCACTTTGGGTTTAGTTGGTTTAGTGATAATTCATTTTTTTTGCATTATTAACAGTTGTCGGAGTCACTTTCAGAATGAACTTGGTACTGGGCTGATCTGAGTGTCTGATGTTTGGAATGCTGTGGCAGCTGCAAACTAACGCCAACAGGAGGTTAAGGGAGGGAAAACCCCTTAGATTTCTTTTCCACTTCACCAGGATGAGTTAACCCAAATAACAAACTGACCCAAAGCCAGAGTGGCCTGAAAAGATGATATTTTCCTCATGAGTTTTATTTAAGCACAGTGCCTGTGCCTGTAAAATTGGTAACTTTAAACTGTGCCTTTTCCCTTCCCATTTCTGTGCACTGACACCCTGGGTGTGCCCTAGGTCAGATCGAGCTCTACACACACCTCCCAGTGATGAAACAGCTGGTGGAGCAGCTGCAGCAGTGGGAATTCCGTGTCTGTGGAGTTTTTCTTGTGGATTCTCAGTTTATGGTGGAATCTTTTAAGGTAATTGTTTGAAACGTGTTGGAAAAGTTCACAATGATAAAGAACAAAATATCTGAGCCATTCAGGGAGTTGGGCTTGCCCAGAGGGAAAAATGCTGAGCCCAGGGATGGTTGTAATCAGCTGCTTCAGACACAGGAAAATTCTAGCTGGATGTAAGGGAAAGCAGCACTGAGAGACTGGTCAGACTGGAACAGGCACAGATTGTGCAGTGAATGTTCATGGAGTTAAAACTTGACTGGGCAGAACCCCTGGTGTGACTTGAGGGCTTCTCTGTTTGAGCACTTGTATGAGCCAGAGAACCACCACAAGTCCTTTCCAACCTGAATTCTGTGATTCCATGAGAGCTTTCTTAGATCTAGAGAGCAGATCTGGAGACTCAGATCTGGAGAGCAGTCCGGCCACCTTCCCTGTCTAGCTGTATCAATCCCAAAAAGGGTTTGTGTCTATTTAATGCCCTTTTCAGTGGCAGATTCAGATTGGAGGCTCCAAAAGTAGATGGGACAATGACTCCTCATTTGGCTCTGTGTCCATGTTCCCTGTATTCATGAACTACATTTGCGCTGGAGTTGAGTGACCTGTGTGTTGCTGTTGTGTTCTTCTGTACTTTAATCCATCATTTTTCATGCTCTTTAAGTTCATCTCTGGAATTCTGGCAGCTCTCAGTGCAATGGTCTCTTTAGAGATTCCACAGATTAACATCATGACCAAAATGGATTTGCTGAGCAAGAAAGCCAAGAAGGAAATAGAAAAGTAAGTTCCAAAAAATAACTTGCTCTGTTGTGTCATATTTTGAGCCAAAGTTCACTCAAAATTCAGCCTAATGTTTTCCACAATTAAAAAATACTCCTGGGATTGGAGAAGATGGATTTGATTTATATAATACATAATCTGGGTAGGCAACTTACAGTTTAGTCAGTCAGAAGGCTAACTCCATGTTTGTAATGATCTCTGGATTTTCCTGTAAACAGTTATCTTGGATCACTTAGCTCATTCTGAATGACATTCAGGGCATTGTGCTACAAAACTCAGACTGGAGGTGATCCCATCAGGTTTTTGGTCCTGAACATACTGAATTACTCATGTTACTTCTACATTTGTGCTAAAATTACAAGTTTTTCCCTGTGGTTTTCCTTAAAGCTAGCAAAAAGGAAATAAAATCAATGGTTTCTACTATCAGTCATGATCTGAGATATTAAATACTTCCAAAACGTATTATTAAGTTTGTTCATTCAGATCACAGAATAGGTTTGGTAACTGTATAAAAGCACAATGACTCATTTGCTCTGTGGCTGCTTTGGGTGTTAATGATGACTTTGTCTCTCCCAGATACTTGGATCCAGATATGTATTCTATGATTGAAGATTCTGCAAATATCTTGAGAAGCAAAAGGTTTAAAAAACTGACTAAGTCTATATGTGGCTTGGTAGGTATATTGCTTTGAACTGGAACCCTTAAAGTCAGCTCTGTGTTTATGAACCATACTGGATGGTTGCTGACCACTGCTCTTATAGATACTCTCTGTACCATAATAATTCTTCCTCTTTCACCCCAAAACTGTCTTTTTCTACCAAACTCATTAACAAGACTAAAAGACTTTCAGATAATTGAACATTTTGCTTTTTGCCTATTTCAACTAATTTGTTTTAATAATTAAAAAAAGATTAATTATTTTTAACTAATTATTTAAATTTTTTTCAGATTAGCATAAGATTCTTGACACTAACATTTGGATTGTAGCCAGTACATTCTGTGTGGATCCTTTTCTGTTAGGAATTTTGGGAAATGGCTTTTTCTACTGCGTAGAACTTAGGAGTGATTCGACTTAGGTGTTTTGAGTGGGAATTGCCATTGCAGTGTGGCTTTACATGGTATTTTAGCATTCCAGTGTGGTTTAAGGAAGTGGCTTAGAGTGCTGTGATGGAGAATTAACTTCCTGCATTTCCTTACCAACGTCCTTTGACTCCTCCCTCTAGATTGATGACTATGGAATGGTTCGATTTCTGCCTTTCGATCGCTCTGATGAAGAAAGTGTAAACATAGTCCTGCAGCACATAGACTCCTCCATCCAGTATGGAGAAGATCTGGAATTCAAAGAGCCAAAGGTAAAGTACTTGTGATGAGAAGGTGAAAAATTAAGAAGGATCCACGATAAAAGCTGTATTTTAAATATGTTCTTTGCCTTGCTAATAAATTATTGTCTTGGTGTGGTTCAAACTAAGTTTAGCCTTTCGTGACAATGTTTATATCATCTTCATTTCCAGTTATAAAAGTGAAATTCTTTAATACCATCTTGCATAAGCAGACTGAGCAAATGGTTGTGTGTAAAAGCAGTGCTTTGCTTCTCAAAACTAATGGAATTTTAAACTTCTGAGGTCAGAAAGAACCACTCAAATCACCAAGATGTTTTCCTGTTCAAACTCCCCTGATAACTCCGGTGTTCAACACATGTGCTGTACATGAGATTGAGATTAGGAATAAACTGTTGTGTAAAATACATGATAGAAGACAATTAAAACCTGTTCCGAGCCCTGCCTAGTTTTATTATTCAGCTCATAAATTCTAAGGAACAACTCCAGTGACTTTATTCCATTTCTAATTCAGTTTTGTACTCTCTCAGTGTACAGAATACTTGGATCTAGATTGTGACATATATAAAGGTTTACCTCTTTCTGTTTCCTTTTTGGCAGGAATATGAAGAAGATAAATCTGCTCTTGTGGATGAGTATTTCCAAGACCATGTAGATGAGTAAAAAAAACATGTTCATAAATGTGAGGAAATACTTTGCTTATGATAAAAAATAAAAACTAAAAAATCCTCTAACCGTTTTTTGTGTAAGATAACTAATATTTATGGTGAAGTTTATGACCACATAACTATTTTAATAAACATTTTTTATTCTGATGTGTGTGTGTTATAAAATCCATAGACACATAAGGGTTCCCCTCATATAAATGTATCTCATTTAAGCTTGAGAAAAATCAATGATTTGCCAAAGAGGCAAAGCTGAATCTAAGTATGTTGTAATATTTATCTCCAGCACTGAGTAGTTAGTTTCATTATTAGATGAGAGAAAGAATTGTTCTACAGGGTGAAAGTTTTTTTTCATAAATTGAATCTGAACTAAGCAAAGAGATGACTGGACAGTTGGTGATGTCTCCTGAAGAACATGAATGTTTTTACATTCACTTCAGAATATTCCAGGTTTTAAGCCTTTTTAAGGCTGTTTCTTGTACAACTTGCACATGGCTTTAAGTGGTTTGTTCATCTTCAGCACAACACTTAAAAGAGAGAAGATTGCCTTAAACAGAACTCAGTGATGGTCTTGTGCAATCGATGCCATTCTGCAGGAGCAGTTTGGTTAGTTAGCAGATGTCTGAATGCAAGGATTGCCCTCAGTGCAAACCAAACCAATTAATACTGGGAAGCAACTGCACTCACCTAATCCTGGGGTGTGAGAGCAAGTTGGCACAGAGTTGAGCTTTGTAATTTCTTGCTTCTAGTCCAGAAGGTGTAATTTTTTTTCTTGTTCAGGAGTAGGGTTGTTCTTCATGTCTGTTTAAATAAATGCTCAACTGGTCATAGTGTTGATACGGTGTTTATTTTTGAAGTAAGGATCTACTTTTTCCACAGCAGAGCTAGAACTGGGAGAGAGGTTTAACAGACCAGCAAATCCTGCATGTCTAGATGAAAAGCACTCCCAAAAATCTATGTGGCAGGTCCTGATCTGGTTGAATTAAACCCTGCAAACATTGGGAAAACTCTGGTGCCTGAACTCATCTCCAGCTTGTCTCTCCGTGAGACAAGTCATGCTTGTGGTGTGTTCAAAGGCCCAGCCTCAGTCCTTCAATTGGATTACTTTGACTCACCTTCCAAATCTCCCCATGTTTAATCCCTGACTCATGCCATGAGTCATTCACCAGGGGACAGCTTCAGCATACTGGATCATCGGGAAGATTATGGATTGATAACAAGAGTGTGCACTAAAAATATCGTGCTCCTCTAAACACGTTTGGAGACCTAGAGTAAGCACCTAAAATACTGGCTCTCTACACACATGCTTGAACCCATTCTGTGCTTCCTTACACCAAGTCCCCTCTGCAGCCGCTAGGGCTTTGCATGAGGTCATGACAAGTGATGCCCAGGAGAACTGGAAATGCACAGAAGAGAAAACTGAGTGTGAGCAAAGC